CTCACTGGAAAATAAAAGCAAACCAGGAAATAAACAGGCAATTCTAACAATAAATAAGTTAGAGATGGGGAGATGATGATGTATCCATTCATCTGAAGTCTTTTTACTGTTGTCTTTTAAAAATGTCCTCTCTAGCACTAAGACTAAGAATGGGGTCTGCACATCACGTCCCCCAGAAACCTACTACACAGATAAAATAAAACTAAATAGCATCCAGGCCAGGTTATCTGTCCCACCCCATATTCCAGACTTCTGGGATTATTAATACTGGTAATATCACAACAGGACTGTGACTGTCAGATGAAGAAAAATGCAACTTTGTGAACTGTGCTTATGTAATAAGAGAAAACTTCTAATGAGAAGTAGAGTTTTAAGATGGATATTAAAGGAAGGAATTCTATGGATAGGGAGAGAAATTTACAGCCTTGGAGATAAGTGAAAGGTAGATAGTTTGCAGGGGTAAACTATTTTAAAGTAAAAGCACAAATGGGGACATTAGTAAGCCAGAAAGAATGGATAAATATTTGGATGACAGGTTTTGGGTTTACGATGCTAAGAGAAACTCTTGGAGTGTAAGATTTAATTAAGATGCAGTGGGCCAAATGCTATTCAAGTTATATGATACAAGAATTGCTGACAGTTTTTTTTTTTAAATTACATTTCTTTTGTGATAATTTGTAAACCAAATTGTGGGTAAACACACATTGAACTCTAAATTATGTATGTGTAGACACATTTTCAAGCAAGATGATTAAATTTTTTTTGAATTTATTCTATCTAGTTGTACATGACAGCAGAATGCATTTCAATTCCAAGATGAATTATTTTAAGGGTGATGTGATAGAATCAGGAAGAATGTGTCTGATTTTCTTTTAAATAATTTACACTGTTAAAAACCCCAGACCTATTAATATTTACTGCATAATAAAATCTGATCTGGCCCTAGTATCTTCCCTCCCACTTCAGCCTGGTAATCTCTTCTCTAAACCCCTTCTTGTGTGTCTCTCAAATAAGAACACAATTCCCCAAAGGATCTATCTAAATAGTATTTTTGTTCTGTTCCTCCTAAATCAAATAATGTTTTTATATGCATAGTAAAAGTATGAAATTTAAACCCAATATATAGATAAAAATTGAATTAATTTGCTTAATCTACTGCCCCTGGATATGATTATTTTCCTATCACTTCTCTCTTCCTTGTGTCACTAGACTGAAGACCCTCTATCTGACTAGATTCATTCATTCACTCAGAAAATACCCGAGGAATGTAAGTCCTCCCCTGTAAGGGCTAGGCTTTTAGCCTATTTTCTTGATTATTCTCTTGCTCATAGTGTTGGGCTTGGTACATAGTGGTACTCAGTAAGTGTTTCCTATAAAATCCTGTGCTTGGCATGGAGCCCCTGTGCTCAAGAAGGTCACAGTCCAATTGGGACAAAGATGACCAAATAAGCAATTATAGCAGTTGAAAATAATTATTGAAGATAGACAAGTTAATACAACCCTAGCACTGCTAGCATTTACCATTGCCAGACAGTGTTCCACATGCCTTACTGCTCTAGTCTGAATGTTAATATTTTCTTAAATTTGTATACTGAAATCCAAACTCACACAGAGATGCTATTATGCAGTGGTGTCTTTGAGAGATGAAAAGGTGGTGGGAATGAGGCCCTTATAAAAAGGATTACTGCCCTTATTTTAAAAGGTCCAAAGGGGCTGTGTTAGTCAGTTTTTTATTGCTGTGACAAATTCCTGAGATAAATAAAGTTACAAGAAGAATAAGTTATTTTTGATAACAAATGTTTCAGTCCATGGCTGATTGGCTCTATTGCCATTGGACCTGTGGTAAGGGAGACCATTATGACCAAAAGTGTGTGGTGGAGCAAACCTGCTGACTTCATGGAAGCCAAGAAGCAAAGAAAGAGAGGAAGGGAACTGGTTCTAACATTCCCTTCAAGGCTATGTCCCAAACAACCTAACTACCTCACTCTAGGTCTCAATGCAGAAAGCTGCCTCCTAGCAGGGCCACAGGCTGACAACCAAACCTTTAACACATAAACCTCTGGAGGACATTAAAGATCCAAACCATAACAGAGTTCTTTTGTCCCTTTCACCTTACAAGTCTACAGCTAGAAGGTTTCCTACGAATCAGAAACGGAAACTTCACCAGACACCAAACCTGCTGGCACCACTATCTTGGACTTCCCAGCTTCCAGAACTGTAATAATTAGATGTTGTTTATAAGCCACTCCTGTTTGGTAATTTTATTATAGCATCCTACGCAGATGGACTAAGATACTTATGTGTATTAATTCACCTAATCCACACAACACTGTGAAATGTGCATTCTCATCATTTCCATTTTTACAGACACAGTCAAGTGACATAACTTGTCCATGGTAACACAGCTCAGAAGTAGAGAGCAATATATAAACCCAGGCAGTCTGCCTCCTGGGTAGAGCACTGCAGTCACAAACCAAAGAATCAGACTGACTTAAAAACCACTGAAGTTTCTTCTAGGACTGAGATTCTAGATGATGGCATCGGTGGTAATAATGAAGCATAGGACAATGGAAAACACATTTATGAAAGCCTTTCCATTTGGAACATATTGTTGCTTCTCAAACTTAGGGTGCTCCAGAATTCAGAAGATTTAGAATTCCAGGTCTGAGGTCCTGGAATTTCTGAACCAATGAAGTTGGAGTGTGGACTTGGAATCTATATTTTTAACAAATCCTTCAAGTGATACTGGAAGTCAAAGTCATATTTAAAAAGCATTGCACTAGATCTTGTTATCTCTTTCATTCCTGGCTCTCCTCTTTTTTTTTTTTTTTKTAACTGGAATTGAACTCAGGGGCACTCAACCACTGAGCCACACCCCCAGCCCTATTTTGTACTTTATTCAGAGACAGGATCTCACTGAGTTGCTTAGCACCTCACCATTGCTGAGGCTGGCTTTGAATTTGCCATCCTCCTGCCTCAGCCTCCAGAGCCCCTGGGATTACAGGCATGTGCCACTGCACCCAGCTCTCCTCTTATCTCTTAATTCAAAACTGAATTAACATTGCAGTACAGGTGCTGCTGCTCAGGGCACTCCATCTTTAGAAGCCTCTTGAATGACAGGGTTCATAGAATCTGTTCAGGATGGAAATCTCTGTTTTTGGTTTTGGTTGATGTGTCTCTTCTGGAAGCCGAGAACTATATCACACTCTGTTTAATGTGCTTAGATCCTTTCTTGGAACACAGGAAATGTCTTATCTACAGAAGGAACTGATGAATAGCAGGAGTCAGGCTTGTGCTCTGGACCAGTCACCAGTCCTGCCTTTGAGAAGCTTACAATCAGGAGAAGGACACAGACACCTAGATCAGGTGATGGGTAGCCATAACTTTCTAAATATGATCAGCATGTTTGAGTGCATAGGAACCAACAAATAATACTGAATAGACAAATGTACAGAATGGGAAACCATATTAGAAAAGTACCTTAGAGGCTGTAACCAGCTGAATTGTGTCCTCCCATAAATCGATACATTGAAGGTCTAAATCTAGTATTTCAGAATATGGGTACACTTGGAGATAGGCTTTAAGTGAACTTATTAGGGAAGTCCCTAATCCAATATGACTGGTGTCTTTGTAGGAAAATAAGATTAGAGAAAAGATGAGCCATTTTCACGCCAACATCTTGAAAGAAAATAAATTTCCATTGTTCCACCCTGACCTTGGTAGTTTGTTATGGTAGCTCTGTGTTAGCAGAGTAATACAGGAGTAGACCATGAAAATTTACTAAAGCAAACTACAGAAATTAAATGTTATTTAAACTGCTGGAAGTCCACAGAGATGTCTAAGCATCAATATGATAAATTAGCAGCTTTGATTCTGTAATATAATTTGCAAACAGTGGAACACTGACAAGGAGAAAAGAAGTGGAATTGAAGGGAGGTCATTTGATCCAATGTAGAATAACAAGATGTAAATCAAGGCTAGTGGGAACGAAAAGCAGAAATTTCATCAGAGAGACATTTGGGGGCAGAAATAATAAGATTCAGAGAACAAGAGGTGCAGGAGGTGAAGAGCAGACAGATAAGAGTATTATGTAGAAAAGTAGCTTGGGAAGTCAGGAAGGCAGTGCTGATGAATAAACCCTCAACTGAGGGTGTGGGCGAAGCAGTTTTAGAAGTGGAGAAAGGATTAAAAGTTGAATTTGGGGTAGATTTGAGTTTGAACGTCCAGTCGGCTGTATGAGCTGAACAGAAATACAGTTCTAGACTTCTGGCCTAATGTAGGATTCTGTTACTCAGAGGCTAGTGCTGGCTAAGGGGAGAAATAAAGTCACCTTGGAAGCACTAGTGATCTGAGATCCAAGCCCCAATCCTTGGGATCCCCACAATGTGTGGAGAAACCAACTAAAGACTGAAGAAACCACCAAACAGCAAAATCAGGGAGAGGAAGGTGGCAGAAGGCAAAGCAAGTCAGTCTTAGTAGTTTGCTGGTGGTCTCTAAAGAGGGAAAGTTTTCTTTGCTCCTGCTGAGACTTCAGTTTTGGCTGGATTTTACTAATTTACGCTATCCTACCAAAGAGTTTCGATATTTCTCTCTCTCTCTCTCTCTCTCTCTCTCTCTCTCTCTCTCTCTCTCTCTCTGTGTGTGTGTGTGTTAAACGCTTCCATAAATCAAGGCAATAGTGGCTAGCAGTTAAACAGCACCATTATTTGGAGGTCTCCCCGCAGTCGGGCGGATCAGCTACTCCCTCCCTTACTGAGCCTCTATCCGAATGGAACGTGGGCGCCCGCAGGGGCGCCAGCTCCTACTCCACTTGGAACGCGGGCCGGGGCTCAGCAGGGCGCGCGCTGGCCGTGGGGGAAATCTCCTTGCGCCTCCCCAAGCAGCGCGCCACGGCTTCTGGGCAAGGCGAGGCGAGGCTAGGGGAGGCGGGCCGAGGGGGAGGGCGAGGGACGCGGGACTGCTGGGCGGTCGGGGGCGGGGAGCGGGCGGCGGCGGCCCCGGGAAGAAAAGAACATGGCTCCTGCGGCGGGCAGGACCGAGGGCGGCGCAGCGCATCCGCGCGCCGGGCGCCAGTGACCACGATGGTGAACTCCAGCCGCGTGCAGCCGCAGCAGCCCGGGGACGTGAAGCGGCAGCCCCCGCCCCGAGCTCCCGGCCCGGGCCGGCTGATGGCGGGCGGCGCGGGCCTCGCAGCCCCGGGCGGCCTCCGGGAGCAGCGGGGCCTGGAGATCGAGATGGAGCGCATCCGGCAGGCTGCCGCACGGGACCCTCCAGCGGGAGCCTCGGCCTCCCCCTCTCCTCCGCTCTCGTCCTGCTCCAGGCAGGCGTGGAGCCGCGATAACCCGGGCTTCGAGGCTGAGGAAGACGACGACGAAGAGGAGGTGGAAGGAGAAGAAGGGGGAATGGTGGTGGAGATGGACGTGGAGTGGCGCCCGGGCAGCCGGAGGTCAGCAGTCTCCTCCACTGTGAGCTCTGTGGGCGCCCGCGGCCGGGGGCTGAGTAGCTACCACGGTTCTGGCCACCCGAACGGGAGGCGGCGCCGACGAGAGGACCAGGGTCCGCCGTGCCCTAGCCCGGTCGGCGGCGGGGACCCACTGCATCGCCACCTCCCCCTGGACGGGCAGCCGCCCCGCGTGGCCTGGGCTGAGAGGCTGTTTCGAGGGCTGCGAGGTAAGACTGCGACCCGCAGTGGCTGATGCACAAACCAGAGTTGCCACTAGTGGCCGGAGCTCTCGCCCTTGGCGGATAGCTGTCCAGGCCTCCACCTCGCGTTCCCCTCTAGGTCCCCGCCTCCTTTGGAAGCGCCTTCCCCACCTCTGCTAATTCTGCTTTATTTCCGGTACCCTTAGTGCAATTCCACTGAGCCCGTGCTGGTCAGAATTTATTGGGTTCCTCCCTCTTTAGGATATGTCCGCATGAGACATATCCTAAACAAGTGAGAACAAGTGAAAGACAAATTGGGTTTTCGTGGGGGGGTGTGTGTGTGTGTGAAGATTCCAGTATAACTGGTGATGGTTGCAATTTCATGTTTTCTTAATGTCACAAAATCCAGAACAAAATAAACTAGCTCCCTTGCCTGCTGTTCCTCCGGCGTTGATGTTCCATTATCCCCCCATTCCGTTCTGGAAAGAAAACAACACAGTGTTATCCAAATTATGGGAGGGGTGTCATTAGGTTGTCATCGATGTTGTTTTGATGATGTGTGTATCACAATTTGGGGAGGAGTTGTTGAGAACACCATAAATAGAATAAAAATAATGTCTATGATAGTAGATGTTTGGGCCATTTCTAGTTCTAGTCATTTTTCTAAAACAGTTGCAAAGAACAGATTACATTGCTTAAAAAAAGTGTTTTTAAATAACAATGTTCCTTGGAATTCCAACAAAATGATGAAATCTTCAGATGCCACTTGATAAATGTGTCTGACTTGGGTGCACTCAAAAGGCAGGAGAGGAGTTTTCAAATTATCTGGTGCCTACTAAGAGGACACAGATTTTTTTTTTTTTTTTTTTAAAGAGAGAGTGAGAGAGGGGAGAGAGAGGAGAGAGAGAGAGAGAGAGAGAGAGAGAGAGAGAGAGAGAGAGAGAATTTTTAATATTTATTTTACTTTGTTTGTATGTGGTGCTGAGGATCGAACCCGGGTCGCACGCATGCCAGGCGAGCGCGCTACCGCTTGAGCCACATCCCCAGCCCACAGATTTTTATAGTAGCAAGTGAGATCCTGTTTTATAAGTTTTTGTAAGACACATCCTTGGAAAAGCGTTGCATTGACTCTTACCACCAAATTATTTTAATATCCATCTTTACAAGTTTCCAAATTCTCAGTTTTTTGGAAACCCTCCCTACATTTCCCTGTCAATTTTGGAAATGGTTCACAAAAGCTCTACAGATATTGTTATAGCAGTGTAATTAAGACAGGTCAGGCCTACATTGGAGTCCCAGTTCTGCTACTTGTTGTCTATATGACCTTGAACAAGTTTGACCTCTTTGACCCTTAAATTTTGCATCTGTTAAAAAAGAAAAGAGATAATCATAGTACTTCTTGATTTGTTGTAAGAATTAAATGAGATATCCAAAATGGGAAGGAAGCCTTTGCCATGTTGTGAGTGCTTTATAAATATTATAAATTGTGTTTCCTTTTACATGTGTGCTTGTACTAGTTTATTTGATTTAGGATATTTGATTGAGGGTATTTGGTTAAGGATATGATGGAGAACAAAAGATACTTTTTGATAACCTAAATGAGCATGTTAGTAAAGCACTAATAGTTTTTAAGGATCAAAAATATATCAAAATTAATTAGATATTATTTTATACTATGTAAAATGTGATTTTAAAAAGTCAGTGAAGTGAGAGAGAAGTTTCTTTTAAGTTAATAAATACTAATAAGTCACATGATCTTTTAAAACTCAGATTATTTAATAAAACAACCTTTCACTAAACTCAATAATGGAATATAATAAAATGAAATATGTATTTTTATTTGAGGATATATACACATTTATTTCTTTTGAAGAAAAATTTGAGGGCTATTACAGTGAATACTAGTCAAACCATTTCAGTGGGAACTTCCACATAGCTGAACACATGGGACTTCCAGAGTGTGGTGTTCCTGGAAAGGACATGGAGGCTGTGCACCCCTTCCCAGTGGTAGGCCCTGTGAATATGTTCATGTGTTTCCTTGGTAATATCAGTTATATTTAATTGATAAATATAAGAAGGAAAAAATCCATCAGTGGTCTAACTTATAGGAGAGGAGACTCAAACATAATTATTAATTATAGAAAATGTTTTAAATTTTGTTTTATTTCTGTTAGGGAGAGATATAGTTGGCATTCTTGTTGCTTACTAGATAAACAACTTGATAAATATCACCTGGTATGTATATGTAGTTAATCATGTGCTAGCAGCTAGGAAAGGAAATAAACCAGAGTGGTACATCACCATTTTCTTATGGAGAGAACCAAGAAATGCAAAATTAACAACCATAAATGGATTCCATTATTTTCCCCTCTCAGGATATGGATGATGGAAATCTTTTTCGTAATATGTAAGCAGTGCCCCAAGATCAGAAGAAAGTAACTTTCTGATTTTTAAAGGTAGGAGAAATTACTGGAGCTTGGAGTGGTCAGGAGATTGTCTGGAGTTTTCCCGCCTTTGTGACTTTAAACAAGCTTCAGCATACTTGGTTGTTGTTTAATGACATGAATCTGAGATGGACAGCAAATCATCCTTCCTGCTCCTTGGACAATAGATAGATCTGTCTTTCTAGCAGAAGATGGTGAGCAAAGAAGTGCTGAGAGCTGGTTGTGGAATACATTATATCTAAACAAGTCTTCTTAAATATTAAGAAGCAACTGAAGGTTTCTGAGTAGGAGCAGAACATGCTGATAGGAGCTAGGAGTCAGCAGCTTGGAGAGCAGGAGAACTTGTATTTCAGGAGAACTTGAAAAGGGAGATACCAATTGAGGAGACTGAGTAGGAAGTAGCCAGAGTGAAAGCGCTGAAAATGTGGACCAGAGGCAGCAAAGGATGGCTGGAAGATACAGGCAGTGCCCCAGACTAAGAGAGATTCCCAACAATCTTCTTTACTCTTTATTTATATATTTTAAAACTTTCCTTAGTATAAATGTGAAATGTGGCACTCAATAGTTATCATATAGTCTGAATTTCTAAAGTCGAGAATGATTTATGATTGTATCAACTTGCTAAAGTCAGTTTTTTCTTGTTCTTTTAAATATGTATTCTTGGGCTATTTTGGTTCCTAAGAAATTACAAAATATATGTTAAATATTTCTTATCTGAAATACTTGGACTAAGAAGTATTTTAGATTCTGGATTTTTTTTTTCAGATTTTGAAATATTTACATATACAATGAGATATCTTGGGGCAGGACCCCAAGACTAAAGATGACATATATGTTCCATATATACCTTATACGCATAGTCTGTAAGTAATTTTATACAATATGTTAGTGCACTTGCATTTTAACTATGATATATCAAATGAATTCAGGAGTAGAGTTTTCCATTTGAGGGATCAAGGTGGTCCTCAAAGGGTTTCAGATTTTGGAACATTTTGAATTTCAAATTTTTGCATTACGAATGTTCAACTAGTCACATTGGTCAGGGTGAGCTAAGTTACTATAAGGAATAAACACCTTTTTTCCCATTTGGTGGCCTGAAGAACTAAAGTTGATTTCTTATCCTCATTACATTCTAAGGAGGGTGTCCAGGTTAGTGGCAGCTCTCCTCCATGGGGTTATTCAGGGACGTAGGCTCCTTCTTTCATGTGGCTTTGCCAGGGCCCTCTCATGGTATCCATGACCAAAGCTGGATATCCAGGTTCTTGTGACAAGAGCATAAAGATGGCTTGTCACTGCTGTTGACTTAAAGGGTTCATCCTGGAAATGGCCCCCATAATCCCCACTTACACTCCATTGACAAAGTTCATAATCACATAGCAAAGGATACCAGCAAGAGAGGTTGGGAAGTATGATAACAGCCACATGTCTAGAGGGAAGAAATGGATTTGGTTAGACAGCTAGCAGTCTCTGCTATATTGGTGCTAGGGCTCAAGTGAAATATTAGGTGTACTCTTCTAAAGGAATCAGACCCTGATATTGAAATTGGTCTGCTATTTGTATTTGATAAGTGACTTTGCTGTACTCTTATGAGTACTCTTGATTTTCCCTGCCTTTCCATTTGATATCTTTAGGGGAGAATATTCACAGTGATTAAGACTTAAAAAAGATCTGAACTTGGCTGTAGCTGATGGTACTAAACCAGAACGATAAACATAGAACCCACCATTCTTTGTTGCATTTCATGAGAATTCATCTAATTTTCTTAAGGCTTCAGAATTCAGTCTTATTTCATCAACAGCAGTGCATTGTTCTAAATTGGAAGCCTTTAACCTTCAGCCTGGGTTCAAGGGCAGTTTTGTCCTTCAGGGGTCTTTGGCAGGTTCCCAGTACAATTTTTGTTTTTTTGAATCAGGGTGTGAGGTGTGTGTTTGTGAGGGGCACTCCTGGTATCTCTGGGTAGAGGGCAAAGATTCTACTTAACATTCTACAATGCACATATGGTCCCCCGCTCCTACCACAGTGCATTATCTCCTGCCCCAAATGTCAAGAGCGTAGAGGTTGAGAAGCCTTGCTGAAAGTTGATAAATTGAATAATAATAATCTATTCTTCACCGTGTTCCAGGTACTGTGTTGAACTCTTTATTATGTACATACTTTGATTTTATCCTCAGGACAACCCTGTGAAGCAAGTTCTATCATCACTACCATTTTACAGATGAGGTTAGACCACTTGCCCAGTGTCACAACTATTAAATGCTTGAATCAGGATTTAATTCCAAGCATTGGACCCCAAAGGTGTTATTATCCACTATAGTATATTCTTGGAATGCCTGAATGTAACTTCAGCCAGCCATTCTCCTTACAAATATGAATTCATTAGAATATTCCAGATAAATTTGCATATCCAAATTCTTGATCTAGAGAGTAAGAGAGCCTGCCTTTCTTTAAAAAAAAATGGCATATATAACAGAAAAATATTGTTTAAACCATTTTTAAGGCATTTTATTTTATTTTTGTATTTGTAGTTGCTAATGGACCTTTATTTTTTATTCATATGAGGTGCTGAGAATTGAACCCAGTACCTCACACATGCTAGGCAAGCCCTTTGCCACTGAGCCACAACTCCAGCCGCTGTTTTAACCATTTTTGAGTGTATAATTCTGTGGCATTTAAGTAAATTCATAACATAGTGAATGTACTTTACTTTTATTATTTCCAGAACTTTGTCATCATCCCACAGAACCCTTGTATTCATTTAACACTGATTCCCTAATCCTGCTTACCCCAAATTCTGGTAGCCTCTATTCTATTTTCTGCCTCTATGAAATTCTCAATCCGTGGCTATCTAATATAATAAGTGAAATCAAACAATATTTGTCCTTTGCATTGGCTTATTTCACTTAGCATTAATGTTCTCAAGGTTCATCCATGTAGCAGCAGGCCCTTCATTCCTTGTTATGAATGAATTGTGTCCCATTGTATGTCTGTACCATGTTTTGTTTATCCTTTCCTTAGTTAGTAAACATGGTTCCCCTCCAACCCCCACCCTTTGGCTACTGTTACTTTCCCTTATTTTTAACCCAAACTTTATCGCTTCCTTTTCCTTTTTTGTTTGCACCATGATTTTGAACAAATGAGGGTTTGTATTTTCATTACCTGGGGGGGATTCTTTTGAGGGAAGTTTGCTCCCCTTTGGAGATTGTTAAGGTTATGCTAGTAACAGAATTCATGCAATCAATGGTCATATTTTGAGAATCCCTTTTATGGTAGGTCTTAGGGATACAGAAAAAATAACACCAGGACCCAACTTTTTAAAAGGTCAGAGTTGAGTAGGGGTAGTAGAGGTGATAGTAGGTCCCAGGGATAGAAGGAACCCAAAGAAGAGGGGGCTAGTTCTGCCTGAGGAGGTCAGAGACTTCCAGAAGCACGTCAAATTTGAGCTACATTTTAAAAGTATGAGGTGGAAATTCAGGGAGGGAACCACCGAGGGAGCAGGACCAAGCAAACCTGCAGCTAACATTATGGAATTGGAACTTTTTCCAGTAGGCAGTTGGAAGACAGAGAGGATGGGGTGAGGTGGATGGTTCTGAACCCCAGGTCAGGAGCAGGCTGATAGGGAGGGGTGACCAAGGCCACAACCAGACACATGAGGATGGAAGAAAGAGGTTGTCAGGATTGTGGAACCAGCTCCATGTGAGGGCTAAGAGGAGGGCCTATTTCTGACTTGATGCAATTAACCCAGACAGGAAAACTAGTCTTCTAGAGAAAGAAAAGAAAAATCTTTTGGGCCATAAAAGTCTGAGCCACCTATGGAATGTACAATTCAAGTACCCCTATTTTGGATAAGAGTTACATACTTAACTGTTCTTACTTTATCAGTGATATTAAACAAGAGAAATAGTTGACTGCAGGACAGTTATTTTACCCATCAGAATGTAAATAAGTCCTTGTCTCTCAAGGTAGATCCTATATGTATGTACACACACACACACACACACACACACACACACACACACACACACACACTGAGTGGGAAAATGGAATGAAAATGTTAAAAACCCATAAATATTTGAGGAGGTAGGTAGAATAGTTTAGAAAAAGTAAAACACTTAATAATTGATCATATAAAAATATAAGTAAGGAGACTTGTTTCTTTCTTAGAAATGCCTCATTTAAGGGCCAGAATTAAATTGCCATAGGTTATTGCAAAATTAGCTTGAATAAAATTTGATAGAAATCTGTTTTTTTTCCATTTAAAGGCCAACAACACCATCTGTGAATATTAAGAATGATTCCTATTGTTTACATGTGGTTATCTGTCAACCATGGGAAAGAATGAAATCCCTGACCAAGTAGGGCAAGGTAACAGCCCTTCCTGATGCCAAGGAGACTACAGTCTTTACTCACATGACTATTTTAGACTGGGGCTCCAAAAGAAGTCTACCAAAAGAAATGGTGTGGTTGTATCCGGGACTACTGAGCTTAATCCTTGGCTGCTTCTGTTATTCCAAGTTGTAATTTTCCATGTCATTTAAATTTGTAATAATTCTTTAATATGATAGAGTTTCAATGAACAAACATTCTGCTTGCTGCATTTCTTTTGAGTGAGTAATTTCTGACGACTACCAGATCTTGGCAGAAGCAAACCTGGTCATAAGTTATGCTCCATTTTCAGAGTGGTAAAACCTGTGATGTGTAACACAGTGTCTTTCAACTCAGATGCTGATTTTCCTAAAGGAAATTGGGGAGAAAGAAAGGAAGGGAAAGGAAAGCATATACTCAAATTTAAGAGTACAACTAATGTATTATCCTAAGATAATACTAATTATGAAGTCATTTCTTCACAGTGAAAGATTCTATACAAAATTTCCCTCTGTTCTGAATGGCTTGATTGTAGTTTAAGTGCCATGTGAATTTCAATTATTGAAGGGGGTAAGATCTGTAGAATAAAAGCATGAAGGGGACATGTAAGGATTATTAACAGCCAATCTAATTCATCAGAAAGGATTGAGAAGTTTGTCTTTTCTGGAAAACATTAAGGTTCTTCCAAGAAACTAGTAATGTGACTCGACCACACTGTTCATTAACAGGGGTTTGGATGGCCACCATGTCTGTCTGCTGGCAGAATCCAAAACTGTGGTAACTCTCTCCAGCAAGCTCACGGAGGGTTATGTCATCTTTACGTAGCCAGCCCAACACTTTTTCCATCTGCTAAAATGTAGAACATAATTGCTGATTTTACTTTTTCTTCAGTGGGGCGGGTAGGGGATGAACTGTTGCTTTTAATTTAAAAAGCATATGTTAATTGGCATTTTAAAAATCTGCTAAGCTAATCAGGCACCATGGAGTTTCTTAAAGGACAATGATGAGCACAGAGTAGCTTTTCTGCCAGCGCCTTAGATGCTTGATGGGTGTTTCCAACTTGAATTGATGTACCAACCAGAAATTCTTTTCACTGGGGTGACCTGAAAAGTCATTAGCAATGCAGTCCTTTATCTACTTAGCTGGGTTTAGTAGTCAGATACCAGGTTGTATTTTTTTCTCAAATAGAAAGAGCTGTGAGTTGTGCACAATTGCTTAATCTCCTCTTTGAAATTACCCTCGTTTCCTGTCTTAAATTTTTACTAAAATATTTGCTAATGGTCTTGGGAGTTGAGAAGATGATTGGATTGTTGCCTCATGTTTTGCACATTCAGGGGAACAGGAGAGCATGAGAAATAAAAGCTACTCCTGCTAACCCCAGCTTCCTAATCACATTCAGAGATTGCTAAAGTGTTCATATTTATAAATGAGAACTCCCCGTACAGATTATACTATTTATTTCATGTTTTTCCCTTTTGTCATTCATAACATTTCTTAAATAAAATGACATCTTCTTTTTTCCATTATTATTTTAAAGGTCTCTGGGGAACAAGACTCATGGAGGAAAGCAACACTAACCGAGAGAAATACCTTAAAAGTGTTTTACGGGAACTGGTCACATACCTCCTTTTTCTCATAGTCTTGTGCATCTGTAAGTAGTCTCTTAGCTTCCACTAATGGAAAAGTTTTGAAAATGTTTGACCTGTCAAAATTAATTAAAAAAAGTATGTAGGCACTGGAAGCATGTTGGCTGGAGCCAAGAGTTCTCATTTGCTTTGTTTTCAATACTGATTTAGAATTGGGTAAACTCTTTTCTATCCTCTAGAAAGCACAGATTAAAAATCAGCATATCTGACTGGCCAGTTCATTGTCAGTTGTGGTCTTTTTTTTTTTTTTTTTAATGAGAAGCATGGAGGAGTCACTTGCCAAACCTGAAGAACCCAAGTTAAATGGTTTTAACATTAGATTTCATAGCAATGAATATAGTGTCATCACTATTAGGAGATCAGTGAATATGAAGTCTTCTGTTTCAGAAGAACGACTTTCCAAGTTTAACTTTCAGGAAACGCAAATAATATTACCTGGTATTATTTTGATATACATTTAAAAGTCCCTTCTTTTGGATTTGGATATGCCATGTCAGTGTTTCATACCAATTCTTTATTTTTTTCCAAATCTTCAATAATTGCTCCACTTTAGCTCAAGGAAACTAGTGCAGGCCCCTCCCACTCTCCCCACTACCATAATTCTGTTTCCATGATTTCAGCTATGTTAGATTTCTCATGTAAGAAATATGAGATTATTGTATAAAACATCCTAGAAATAAAAGCCAAAAACTCAAATAATCTATATATTACATTAAAAATTGCAAAGCAAGAGATGACATCTTAAACTTTTATGTCCCAAGCTGCTAGAAACTTTTATGTTCTAAGCTGTTTTTTACTAGGACTAGTAATCGTCTAACAAGTTTTACCAGGGAATGTCTTCTTTTTATATTTCCTAAGACTTTGCCTACCCAAGTGGAAATTTAAGAAAGAAATGAAGTTTTTTTAAGCTAAAACCTCTGTATATATGAAAAACATAATCTTCTTGGTTTTTTCACACTAAGTTTCTGAAGTTTAGTTTTAAAATATTTGTTTAGGAAGAAATGTCTCATGCTTTTAAAAATGATTTTAGTCCTTTTTTTTGTTTTTAAAGAAACTCATGATACTTTATTTTTTTAAGAAAAAAGCTTTATTGAAGTATAATTTACAAAGCTTTATTGAAGTATAATTTAACTCATCCATTTAAATATCAAATGCATGTATTTCTTTTTATAAATGTACAGAGTTGTGCAACCCTCAAATTCAATTTTAGAACATTTCCATCATCTCAAAAATATCCTCCAAACTTCCCTCTGTTGGTTGCATTTGGCAGAAAGCCCCTTTATCCTTCAAATGCTTCTGCTAACCATTACTTAGTTTTTGATTTGCAGCATTCTACTGACTTTATTTCTTAATTTTTTGAGGGGGTTTTGAAAGGACTTGTTTGGTTTTTATGTCTTTGACTCATTACTCTACTCCCTTAATTCTGTTGCATGAATTTGGCCATGTTAGATTCCTCATGTAAGTGATATGAGATTATTTTATAAAACATGTTATCTAAGAAATAAATGCTAAGATGCTAGAATAATCTATATATTACATTAAACATTGCAAAATAAGAGAAGACATCTTTTAAACTCTTGTGTTCTAAGCCAGTAGAGCTTAGAGTACTGAGGTTGAATTTGTTTCCTGCATGGAAATGATGTTTAAATACTAAACTGCAGTAGCCTATTAACAGGTTGATTAGAACTATTAAACTTTTTCAAGCATTACCTATGCACACATATTTCTTAAGCAAAATAGGCCTTCCATTTAAGCAAATCTAGAATTATAGAAACTGCCTAAACATCAGAACTGCCAAGAAAATTAAAAAAAAAAAAAAAAAAAGAAAGAAAGAAATTACAGTTGGCCAAGATCCACTAACCCACCTTCCAAGATATGAGTTTTCAGATGCATCAGTAAGTTTGGGAAATAGGTCAGATAAGTAAACAGAAGAGTTTAGAAAACCTGCCTGCAGTCACATAACAAATTAGTGTTTTTTACTTATTTTAGAATTTTTATATTCTTAGTTTGTTCTTTTTTACCCTAAATATACTTTTCCTTAGTTCAGAATCTACATATTTTAATATGCATAGTTTAATTTTTAGAATATTTTATCATCTCTGGTTAAGATCAAATGTTAGTAGCCATATGGTCAAACTTCCATTGAATGTTAAAATTTCCCCTGCACCATCCCTTCTGAATGGCCATCATCCTGCCTCTGATTGAGGAAGAGGCCAGGTTAAAAGACGGACATTTTGGAACTAGTTTATTTTTTTGTGGCTAAGTTACGGAGTTCTTCCTTCTATCAAGCCAAAGACTTTCCTCTGTGACTCCTTCTCCTAGTTCTACCCTCCAAACTCACTGATGCCAAATACCTTTTCTATGTCTCTTCCAATCTAGCCCTTTCGATGTCTGCAGGCAGACATCCAATCTCTCTAAAGTCTTCTCCAGGATTAAACTTTCTGGTTTGTTCAACTATTGATCCTGTGATTGTATACATGCTTTTGAGGAACTCACACCATGCTAACTCCTAGTAGCACGTGTTCTGTTCTTCAGAGTCCCTCACTATGGATATTGGGGCCGTGAGCTTCTTTCTCCAGATACTGCACTGCCTTCATGCACCCTACCATCCTATTTAGAAGGTTGCTTCATCAATGATTCCCTAGTCTCTTCATCCCAAATCATAAAGTTCTATGTCTTCTGATTAGTATTTGAGGGTTTCCCTTTCAGCTTTTTTTTTTTTAATCTCATTAGATTCTGCTCATCATTCCAGTTTTTTGGAATTATTTAGATTTATTCATCTCACATATCAGCTTTATTTCAGCTTCACAGTATTAGCCGAGTTATCCTTCATGTTCTTATACTTGTAGTTGAGAAGTCAAAAAAGATTGACCTATGAACATCAGTCCATTAATCAACACCCTTTAGATGAAGTTCACTCATTGCATTATCATACAGCTCCGTATTCATGGAAGGTTAATGGTTTATGACTTCTTAATGCCTATCTGAATAACTCCACCATTCCTCTGATCTATCAGCTATTGACTAAATTGAAAAATGAGGATTACCAGGCATGATTCAGTCCTAATAAAGCCTTCTGTCTTCTAATGATGGAATTCTTCAGAAACCATCTTTTTAATCACTAATCCTAAAATTTCGCCATCAATATCAAATGATTATGAATTTTCAAAGTCATTACTCTGTGTGCAAATGAGATCATATGCTTAACCCTATGTATGTCTGCATATTTGCATGTTCAAAGCTCTTTTGTTTCATAAAGATCTGAGTTCCAGTTCTACCACTGAGATGCTAGGTAAACTTGAGTGAATTATTTAATCTTTCTGAACATTTGTTTTTTTCATCTGTAAAATACTTGTTTTGAAGATTAGAAGTAATACATGAAAAGTTACCAGGATACTATCTCTCATACAACAGCAATGATAAGTAAATCTCTAAATCATTAAAAACATCAGAATGACCAAATTAGTGAGTTCTAAGAACTATAAGGTGTTATTATTTGAACCCAGATTCCCAATTCTTTTGGAGTAGCTAAATGCCCATTAAGAGCTTATTTTTCACCTTAACATTGTTAGTTCTGTTTCCTGTTTTAAAAAAACAGCCTACTTTGTTTGCCAAGAGGATAGAAATAACAAGTAAATTAAGTACGCCTATTTTCTATTTTAGGATTTATTCTTAGTTGAAACCTGAGGTTGATATTAATTCACTATCAAAGTACTTATCAATATATATGGGTTACTATTTTAAATAATAATGGTATCTCACTTATGTGAGTTAGATGCTGGCTGAAATTATAGGAAGGAATAAGGAGTATTTCCACAGATTTTTGCAAAAATCTTTTTTCTTTTCAGCCTCTATGATAAAAATACATCTGTCTTTTCCTTTTTCTATTCTCTTTACTCATCTACAAAGTTGTTCAACCTCTTAACTGTGGATATAATGAAAATTAAAAATCTAGTTGAATCAGTACCATAGAAATACAGTATTTCTGAAAGTCAAAGAAATTAAAATGCAGAAAAATTGCAAAGACCAAGTACAAGGAATATAACAAACTATTAATATTTTAATAAATTTTAAAGTCAGAAACCACTGGGGTGGTTCTGTAAACATTTGCAGGAGAGAAAACGTAACTTTTTTCACAGAGTGGAATATGTAATCCATTTATGTGGGAAGTCTTTGACTTTAAACCCACTGGTATGCAAAGAAGAAATAAAAATGAAAGAATGAGCAACAAAAGTCACAGTAAAATCTGATAGGTCCTAGGAAAGGAGGAGCTCTTTTAAGAAGAAATATGTCTCTCCATTTTTTTTATATTAGAATGTGACTTTCCTTTCCTTCTTAAAAGAAAAAAAAAGGCATATTTCATTTTACTTGTAAAGGACTGCAAGGATGCTATAGATAGTTGCCTGATTAGCAGCAAGTCCACACAGATTGAATTGCTGATAACTATGTTCATTGAAGTCCAGGTCAGTGGTTTATGGCCATACCAGTGGGACACCGCTTCCATTTCTGGTGACAAACATTCTAATAGCTTTCCATGTCGTTTTCCAAAATGGAAACATCACAGGTCACAGTCCCTAGGAAGTAACTGTTAAAGCCTTTGATGGTGGCTGGAAAACTTCTTGTCCTTTCTGGTAAATGACTAGACAAAAATTCAACTTTACAATGACAAGAAAGCAAAGATGTATAGAAATGACTTTAATCATGACCTTTTTTTCCACTTGGCATACTTTTTCATCTTTCTGATGATGCACATTGTAAATTTTCCTCTTGTTTTGAAACAGAACAAGCAAAATGCTAGTCTAGCACTGATGTTCACAAAAGCTTCTGTGTCAACATCTTCTATCCCTTAAATATTTCCATTAGAACTTGTTATTTACCATTTTCTTTGAAATTTTAGCCCAAACTGGATTAAACATGGGAATTTGAATAACTTTATTTCATGAACTCTCTTGTTGATTCTCTCTTCCACCTCTTAAAAGCCCTGAGCCAAGGTCACTGGGGATCT